AAGATAAAGTTTTATCAAACATAAATAATTTCTCAATTATGTCAAGTAACTTAAGAGCTGAAAATAGAAGAAATTGTCGAAATGAAAGAAATGAGGCCAGACGAGAAGAAATTAATCGCTGCCAAAATGAAAGAAATGAGGCCAGACGAGAAGCAATTAATCGTCGCCAAAATGAAAGGAATGAGCTAGACGTGAAGAAGTTAATCGTTGCCAAAATGAAAGGAATGAGGCTAGACGTGAAGAAGTTAATCGTCGCCAAAATGAAAGGAATGAGGCTAGACGTGAAGAAGTTAATCGTCGCCAAAATGGCTCAACGAGTATTATTTAGGCGTGGAATGCATTGCATAGCAAGAAATAATGTTTTTATAGAGAGTAATTACCTAGGAGAAATGAACCATAATTGTCAGTATTGTGGTGCTAAAAAATTTTTAAATGAAACACATTTTTTGTGCTGCCATTCAGGAAAGGTTGTCTTACCTCCACTTTCACCTTATCCACCGCTAATGGTTGATTTAATGACAGGCAACCATGTTGATCGTGCTTTGAATCAAAATTTTTTCGAGCATATACGAAATTATAATGCCTGTCTATCTTTTGCTTCATTCATAGCCACAATAGATCCTTCGTCAAATCGTGGTCCACCCTGTTTTAGAATTAGTGGGCAAATTATGCATCGTATTGGTAATCTAAGACATCAGCAAGGGGATCCACCTGCTTATTGTCAATTATATGTTTATGATCCTAATACTGCTTTAAACTTTCGAATGGAACAAAATGATTGTTGCATACGTGAGTTAATGGAACTTTTGCAGACTATACTTAATCAGGAGAACCCATATGCGCTTGCATTTAAAAACATGGCAGAAGTTGAAGATGCAGAAATTCTTCAAGCTGCTATAGAAGGTCGACCGATTTCTGTTGTCAAAATGTCGTTGCTTGAGGGTTGTGATAGACGTCAATACAATCTTCCATCACATGAAGAGGTTGCCATTGTGTTTGTAGGAAATGATGGTGCTCCACCTCCATCTAGAGAAGTTGTTATTTATCCTCGAGGTCAACCCTTAAAAACAATTTCAAGTATGTCTGCAAATCTAGATCCAATGATATATCCAATATTTTTTCCAAGAGGTGATGCAGGATGGCATGATCAACTAAAGCAAAATCCTGACCGAGCAACACGTGTTCGAAATCGTGTTACTTTATCTCAGTACTACAATTATAGGCTTTCTATTAGACAAACGTTCAGTCCTATATTTTATGGTAAGAAACTTTTTTAACAGTATGCTGTTGATGCATATGTCAAGATTGAAGGACAGCGCCTTGCTTTTATCAGAAATAACCAAAACAAACTTAGAAGTGAACAATACGATACATTACATGAGTATGTAAATAATGTTGCAAATAACCTTATTTTAAGACCGGGTCGTGTTGTTATACTACCATCCTCATATGTTGGAAGTCCAAGAGCTTTAAAAGAAAATTTTGAAGATGCAATGGCAATTATAAAGAAATATGGTAAACCAGATCTTTTTATTACTTTTACCTGTAATTCAAAATGGAGAGAAATTACAGAAAATTTAAATCCAGGTGAGAGCGCAACTGACAGGCCTGATTTAGTTTGTCGCGTATTTAAGATGAAACTTAAATGCTTCTTAGGTGATATTTTTAAACATGGTTTGCCACATGTGCATATTTTATTACACTTTGTAAACGATGATAAGCTAGAAACAGCAGAGGATATTGATAGTTTAATATCAGCTGAAATTCCAGATAAAACTGTTGATCCTGAACTTTTTGAAATTGTAAAAACATGTATGATTCATTGACCATGTGGGATTTTAAATCCCAATTCTCCTTGCATGAAAGATGGAGTTTGCACAAAAAAATTTCCTAAAGAGTTTAATCCTTGCACTGTTGCAATTTTCAATGGTTATCCTAACTACAGGCGTTTAGATAATGGTAGAGTAGTCATTATAAAAGGTAACCAAGTTGATAATCAATGGGTCGTACCCTATAACCCCTGGTTATCAAAAAAATACCAAGCCCACATAATGTTGAAGCTTGCATGTCTATTAAGTCAGTGAAGTATTTATACAAATATGTCTATAAGGGGCATGATTGTGCAAATGTGGTAATTAATGAAAGTGTTGACCATGATGAAATTAACACATATTTAGACTGTCGCTTTGTTTCCGCCCCAGAGGCTTTTTGGCGAATATATGAGTATTCCATAAGTGATATGTCACATACTATTATCCGCCTTCAAATCCACTATCCTGATAATCAGAGAGTATATTTTAACGAAGGAGAAGAACAAGTAGCTATAGATCGTGCAGCACAGCGTGACACTCACCTAACCGCTTGGTTTAAGTTAAATGCTGAAAATAATGAAGCACGTCAGTATTCTTATGTTGAAATTCCATATCACTTTGTTTTTGGTAAAAATTGCATGTGGAAAGTAAGACAAAGAGGTAGTGATAAGGTGGTTGTTCGAATGTATAAAGTCAGTTCATTTTGCGAATTATTTTTTCTCGGGTTGTTATTTTTGCATGTAAAAGGTGCAAAGTCTTTTGAGGATTTGCGTACTGTTCATGGTACTGTTTTTAATACATTTCGTGAAGCATGTTATCATTTAGGTTTATTGCAAGATGACATTGAGTGGAGAAACACATTAACTGAAGCTGCTGCAACTCGGATGCCTAAACAAATTAGGCTACTGTTTTGCATCATATTAACTTTATGTGAACCTGATGATCCTTTACACCTTTGGAATACATTTAAAAATTATATGGTTGAGGATTACATACACCATTCGATGCCAGTCGTACTTGCTGAGCAGACAGCTCTTCGTCAAATTGAATCTATAATTAATCAGAGTGGTAAAACCTTAGCTGATTATAATTTGCCAGCTTTAGATCAGTTTTTAGATAATGTTCCAGAAAATGATGATGAAGATGTTCAGGTGTTTATTGATGAAGCAAACCGAGTTAGACCATTATTGAATGATAATCAACGTAATGTAGCTGATGCGATCCTTGCTGCACTAAGTGTGGAACCTACAAATGAAAATAAGCATTCAAGGTTGTTTTTTATGGATGGAGACTTCAGACAAATACTTCCAGTTGTGAAGCGAGGTCGACCAGCAGAAGTTATAGAATCAAGTTTAAAATGTTCTGAACATTGGCAATATGTGCAAAGGTTCTCATTAACTGTAAACATGAGGGTTCAGATAGAAGAAGAGGAATTTTCTCAATGGCTTTTAAAGTTTGGAAGTGGAACATTACCTGTCAAGCCTGAAGATCCTTTGCGAGGGTGTATTGAAATACCTGAGCAGTGCTTTCTCAGTGATAATGAATCTATTGTGGAGAAGATTTTCGGTGGTGCAGAAGAAACTGAATTTGCAAAACGTGCTATTTTAACGCCAACAAATGTTGATTCATTGGCAATAAATGAAGAAGTCCTTCATCGCTTACCCGGTGATGTGAAAACATATTTAAGTTCAGATAGCATTGATACTGATGATCTTAATGAAATTAATAACTTTCCAGTCGAGTTTTTAAATAGTTTGACTCCATCAGGTATGCCTGTTCATTGCCTAAAATTAAAAATTGGTGCTGTTATAATGCTACTTAGAAATTTAGATCTCAAAGGTGGACTTTGTAATGGAACCCGTTTGATGGTGCGTGCATTACACAACAATTATATTGATGGTGAGGTTTTAACAGGTGTATCTGCTGGTAACAGGGTATTTGTTCCTTGAGTTCAATTAGCTCCATCAGATGCGAATTTATCTTTTACACTTAAACGCCGTCAGTTTCCAGTTAGGTTAGCATACTCAATGACCATAAATAAAAGTCAAGGTCAAAAGTTTGAAAAAGTTGGTGTTTATCTCAAAAAACCTTGCTTTTCACACGGCGAATTATATGTTGCATGTTCAAGAACAAGATCATTTAATAGTTTGTTTTTCAAAGTTGATAAACATCCATTACAAGGTATGTCATTTAACAAACATTACACAAATAATGTTGTCTTTACAAATGTTCTTAATTTATAATTTTGACAATTATATTATGTGTTATATGTGTTTTATATTTTTTGTATGTTTTTTTTTTTTTTTTTTTGCTATATGTGTATATAAATGTATGTGTTTATATGCGTTTATATATCTTTATTTATATTTATGTGCTTAAGTTTATACAAGTTTATATTAAGTTGTTTCCATGTGAAAAGTGGTGTTACTTGGCAACGTGTAGTGCAAAATTGTGATTCTTGCTAGCCAAGCGGTGTTACTAATTAGTGGTGTTACTTGGCACTTAGTGCTAAGCAGTATTACTAAATTGTGGTGTTACTTGGCAGCGTTTAGTGCCAAGTGGTGTTACAAGTGTTGAGCTAGGTTGTGTTGACTAGCTTTTTTAATTAATCTGGAAACACATAATCTGAATATTTTGTGTTATGTGCAAATGTGTTATGTACAAATATTTGATGCTATGTGTATTCAGTAGCATAGGCAGGGTCTTTTGATGCTTCAGATAGCACTTTCAACCAAACTTAAGTGTATTCACGTTTATAGAATTAAAATACTTTGCAAAAAATTGATGTTTTTAAAGCTTAGAAACAAATGTTTAAAAAAAGTGTTTTTCCTAACCTGAATTTTTTTAGACATAACAAAGTTAAACTCTTCAACAGCTTCTAAATATATATATCTGAAACAACAAAAATCCTGCCTACACTACTGGTGTTATTGTTTGTCATCCTGTAATGTTGTTGTGATGTTTTGTGTTGATAGACAGCTTGGCTTACCTTCACGTTGGTGTCTATCGTTAAAAATGATTATTGGGTAGCTTCATTACTGAAACTTACTCCTAATCATTCACTAAAAGCCAAGAAATATTTTAAGAAAAAATGCCTAATTTTTTTGTGTCAGTAAGAATTTTCATCTTTAGCAATGCTGATAAAACTGAATTTTTTTTAAAAAAGAGTTATTCCAGCCTTCCAACCATATATTAGAGACTTTTAAAAAAGCACTCTCACAAAGTAAGTGTCTAATATTTATTTAATATTACTAAATTTTGTTTCGTTTTTTTCATTTCTCAAATGAATTAACATAAAACAAATAAATGTGCATTCAGTGTTATCAATAATGATTTTATTTCATTTTTAGATAATGCTTTTATAATCAATTTAAAAGTCTTTCAAATCATTAACCATTTTCTAAAGGCGAAGAAGAAGAATCATCAATCTTCATACCATTTAATAAAGCTATTTTAATAAAACGCAATACAAATTGTTGTAAATTAGTATTTGAATAATTTTCACGTTGTTACCTTATTTTGCAGTTTCCTATCACTTTGTATTGAATTAACTAAATCCAATATTACAGTTCCTTTTATCAAGTACTTCACATTTTCTGTTTTTGTTTTATGCAGAAAAACAGATCAAATTAATTTATTTGACTTGCCTAGCTACTTATTTTACAGGCCTAGCCACAGTGAGTGTGCATAAATCAACAGAGGGTTTGGGTTTGGGCAGGTTGTCTTGAACTAAATGATTTACCTTCTTCATGTTAAGCTCTAAATATAAATATACGGAAAAGGTGCATATGTGAATTTTTTTTTTCTAGCACATAATCTATTGTTCACTAAAAAATATTTGAGGGAGAAATAGAGATAAGGTTAATGTGAAATAGAGTTTGTCTTTTTAAGTGAAAAACTATTTTATAATCTATCTATCTTCTATATAATAATGCCGAACTTAATAGTAGTGTTAGTAGAAAGAGTCGCAGCACTTTTTTTAGAAGAAAACGTGTATGCAAATATCTAACGTACGTAATTAAGTAATGATAAAACATACTGAAACATTTTTCAAGTTTTATAGTTTGACTTTGACTTAAAAATTGCATTGCGTCAACCTCTTCCTAATTTTTTATCTACAGCAATTCCGTTAAAAACAATTTTTATATATTTTTAAAATTTCGATATTTGATGTGTCAACATGGCCGAGTGGTTAGCGCGCTAAGCTTCTGAACGTAGTAGTCGTGGTTCAAATTTACCACCAGCGATTTTTTTCTTTAAATTACAAAATATTTGTAAAATTAAACAAGTTAAATGTTATACACTTTAACCGTTTTTTCTTTTTAAATTTTATAAATTTTTTGGATTTCTAAAAACACCAATAAACGGGGCGAAAATTTGTTGCGTGTGTGTCACGATTTTGATACTGTTCTCACATAATTGGTCCTAATAAGCTACGGATAGTCTTAAAAAAATGGTCCTAAAACCTAATAAAGAAAAAACTTGATAAAACCGTCCTGCTACTCCACATGGTATTGCAGTGGAGGCAGGGAAAAAAAAAGCAATTAAAAGGTTTTTTGTTATATTTAATTTTTTGCTATAAATATAGCCAGATTAAAAAAAATGTATTGAGATTTTTTAGGCGCGGATTTGAAGCCTTGCACAGCAAATCTGATGACAGCGCACTTAACTTGTGAGCTATCAAAGTTATGCATGTAGTTAGGCGCTTCAACCTTTTTTTAAAAATGTAAAATGAAAACAAAATAAACACCATAAGTAAGAGCTAAATAATAACGTTTAAAAACTACCAAACTTTTTGTTATATTATTATTAGTTTTTCAACTTTTAAACCACAAAATTTATAATTTATTTTTTTGCATGACTTTTGACGCATTAAGCAACTAACGTTTTGATGAATTGCTTTACCGTTTCCGTCTAATACAAAGGTAACTATAAAAGACCGTTATTATTCAAAACTAAGCATATAATAATAATAATAATAAATATAGTAAATAGTAACTATTGAAAATGGCTAGGACGCGACCATAAACCATGGTCCATGGCTGGTCTAAATGTAGGAAGTAGTTTAGCTCAGAATTTTTCTTAAAAAAAATAATTAAACGGGGCTTAATAAGCTATATACGTATGCGAAAAAAGTGCGTATGTTAAAGTTTTTTTGCTCCCGAAGCAAATTTTTTTGATGAATTTTTTTCCACCGTTTACTAAAAAATATTGAAGTAAATAAGGAACAAGTAAAGAAATGATTGGCGTGGAATAAATAAATATAGAAGTAGAAGAAAAGACCTGTATTTACCGATACGGACAGCTAGATTAAGAAAATAAGGGAAAAGGTTTGTGTGGAATAGAATTACAAAGACCCGTATTTTTACGGGTCAATCCAGCTAGTATATATATATATATATATATATATATATATATATATATATATATTATATATATATATATATATATATATATATATATATATATATATATATATATATATATATATATATATATATATGTTTATTTATATATATGTATATTTATATATATATGTTTATATATATATATATATATATATATATATATATATATATATATATATATATATATATATATATATATATATATATATATATATATATATATATATATATATATATATATATATATATATATATATATATATATATATATATATTACAAAATTCATAAAGAAACTATTGTTTTTAATACAATAATCTACTAAAAAATTCATTAAAAAAAATTAAAAGGACCATTTAAATACATCAACAAAATGACATTTCTATGTTAGAAAAATCGGTAATAAACTGTAAAATGCAATGCAACTTTGAAAAATGTAAGAATATGCATATTGGTAAAAAAAATAAAAACTATACATATTACATGAATAACAATAATATAGAGTAAGAATTAGGTACAACTAAATTGGAAAAAGATCTAGGCGTATTAATGTCAAATGACATTAATACGTCTAGATCCTTTGACTTTTTTGAAAAAATTACATTATTTATATCAAGCTATAAATTTGGTATATTATGCAAATCATTTAAGTATAAAAATTGTGAACTAATAAAATTGTTCGATTGTAGCTATATACGGCCAAATTTAGATTTTACAATGCAGATATGGAGTCCTTATCTTGGAAAAAATATAGAAATAACAGAAATAGTTTAAAAACGAGTAACGAAATCTGTATCTGAGCTACCTTATCTATTATACAGTGAAAGACTGAAAAATAGAACATCTTTAGAACAACGAAAAATACGAGGAGATCTAATAAGAATGTACAAATTGTATTATGATATTAAGAAAATAAATTGGAATAAACCCCCTCTTCAACATCCGTACTCTTTATGTTTTTCTGGGACATGTTCAAACATAGAGATAATAAACATCATTTATTCACCGATAAGAAATATTTGAGTCGAAATCGTGAAGGTTTTTTTACAAACCGCACAATTAAGTTCGGGAACAGTTTACCAATTAAATCAGTAGAAGTTAAAAATCTCAACTTATTTAAAACTAAACTTTACTTAATTGACTATCTTTAACTTTCTAGTTATGCCTCTAAAAGATTTAATATGGCGTTAAATCTCAATAGTATTGTATATTATATCATTATTATAAAAGACTTAAGTAGTAAAAATTAAAAAAAAAAAAAAAAAACACAATATGTATTAGTATTTAAAAAAAATTTAAAATCATCGTCATAATAGTCAGTATTTCAAAAATTCTATGTTTGACATTTATTTAAACAGGACATTTGACGTTTTATAAGCAAATTTTCCTTTTTTACCAATTCATACTTGCTTTGAGAAGAATATAAAATAAAAAATCAATTAGATGAAGTTTTTCTTTGACATTCAATGTTTTTCATCATATGATAAAAAATGTAAGATTTTTTAGATTCCATGAAGTGTTCTCAAATGCATTATCAAACGTTTTGGAAAGTTTGCGCAAAGCAAACTTTACAGTTAGCACAAGTAAGTTTGTAAATAATATTTGATTTACTATTTCTTGGATTTAATTATCAAATTATTGTATTTTTCTTTTAAAGTTAAGCAATACTTTTCCATAAAAGACTTATTTAAAAAAAATACTACATCAATCATTGTTTAAAAACTTAATTGTGCTAACTGTACATAGGAAGAACTTTCCGAAGCTTTGCTACATAGGAAGAACTTTCCGAAGCTTTTCACAACGTATTGATAAACGTTTCAAGAAAGTTAAAAAGTCTTACATTTGTCATCATGTAATGACAAAACATTGAGTGTTAAAGTAAAGCTTTCTTTGATTGCTTTTCTATTTTGGATTATGTTTAAACTTTCTGACATCTTTTGAACGTCTTTTAAACGTTTTGAACGTCTTTTGAACGTTCAAAAGACGTCTTTTTTTGGTCCGGTGCCCACTGGGAAGCGAGTATGATTTAGAAATAAAGAAATGCCTGCATATAAAGCTGTAAAAGCCCTAATTAAATAAACTTGTCAAACATAAATATCTTAAACATGTTAAAAAGGTCAAACAGAATTTTTTAACTATTATGACGTTGACTTTATAAATTTGTTTTTTTAACTACTTCTACCTATAGTGTTTTTTTATATTGAGTTTTAAGACTGACGCATTTGGTTGTTGTAGTTTAATGGTCTTTTTAACCCTTTGTAAAGTATATATATATTTGTATATATACATATTTGCATTTATTATATCAAAAAATCAGTAAAACGAAACAATAAGTTTAAGTAAAAAAAAATTACTGCATTTTTTATTCTGCTATTTAGTTCAAGAGATGGCTGATCAGAAGGATTTAGATACTGTGAAATATAATCTTCGTCTGTAAAAACTATGCCAAGATTTAATGTCGCTTCTAAAAATAGATGAAGTGACTTAAAAATTATTTTAACAATTTTTAAATTTTTTACTGATAAAGGTGCTGCATTTTTGTAACTTTAGACTTATTTAGCAAAGATAATGTAAATATTATTACAAAAAAAACCTTTATTTAATTTATTTATTTGTGTTTAAAATTTGAATCAAAATGATTTCAGTTTTAAAATAAATGTCGTTTTTTATTGTCATAAAAGTTTTCTATTAACCTCATTTTTGTTTCATATTACTAATAAAAAAACTTAGTTGTTAAATAAATTGTAAGGCTTGTTTTTGCTTAGTTTGCAACGTGTAGCCATTAATTCCACTTAAGACTTTGTTTCATTAGATTAAATTTCGTCCAAGGTTTTTTAAGTTGCCAGATCAAGTTTTAATATGTTTCTTATTTATTTCTTTAATCCATAATATGATTCTGTATTGTAAACAAATCATCGTAGTATCAATTAATCCGCACCAACATGCTTCCGCGACTATACTTGAAAGTTCGTCTAACACAGCCTAAATTGTAGATATCTCTGGATAATCTATCGAGCTTTGGGACCCTGTAGTAATTTTGAATTAAACTCTTTTAAAGTGTTTTTTAATTTATAATGGTTTATTACACAGAAGTTGTCCCTCTTTCAAAAGTTCAAACACTGTTCTACTAAACGGAAATAAATTTATAAAGTGAATTCCATCTGTCTGAAAGATGATTATCGCAATGTTAAAGTCCTTTTAATTTTTATTTTGTTTATACTTTAATAGCTTGTTACATTGTTTTCAGAGTGAATATGTTAAACTATAATATATGTATCTAAAGTAAGTAGTAAACTCCTGGTTTCAGATAAGATTTATGTATATCTTCTGTTTATTGCTTAGCCAGTTTTTAGGCAGAAAATTAGTATCTTTCTTGACATATTTAAGTAAGTTTCTACTAAAATCTTTTAAAAGTCTTCCTTTTTCAGGCCTGTCCTTCATTGTGGGTGTTGTTTAAATTAAATTTTCTGCCATCGCGGCTGTCGATCCAACCAATCTATATTTAGTCATTGTGTTGGAGACTGTATTATGAGAATTTTCAGTTTTTTGCTGCATCTAGCGATAAGTGTTTGTTACGCAGTTTCTTTAATTCTATGAAAGTTTGATAATAAAAAATTTCAAAAACATCACAAAAAATAAACTAAACTTACCTAAATATTTCTTAGTCTGATTTTTTACAAGGCTGATCAATATTAAGTTTCTTTTCAGTACAAATAATAAAACCAAATGATCCAATAAACAAATAATACGTACGCTTATTAAACATCTTGTTTTCAATAGAATGAAAATTACATAACAGTACAGTTAATAGTTATTTTATTATTTAGACGGTAATTATTCATTTTTTGACTTCAAATGTTTGGTCAAAATATTTTAATTTCTTGATTGAATCTTTTAAAAAATTGAACAAACGCATCTAGAAAATATTTTTTTAGCTTTGAGGCTTTCAATTATTCACTTTTTTTTTCAAAAAGTAGAGAAAAAAATTAAGGTGGAAAGAACTTACTATTTTATAAACACATTTAATGCTGATTTATGACGAATTGTAGATATTAATTAAAAAAGAAAAGAATACGACATAGTAAAGTTGACAAAGCATAAAAATAATTTTATAAAGTTTTCTATTTAAAAAAACAAAATAAAACTTTCTACCAAAAAGGTGGTAATCATAGTTAAGAATATTATCCAACTAATTTTTTATACCTTTTTTTATTATTTAAAAATATAGTTGTTAAAAATGGAATTTATACAATAATAACAACAACAACAAACTCTAATTTATATCACCTTTTTAAAAATATCTGCATTTACAATGAAAATCTCTATTTGTGATAGGCTTCGGAAGAATTGTGAAAAAAGTGACGGTTAATTATATCCGTTTCTGATTGTGCAGTATCTTTATCTAGAATTCCGGGCTGAAAGATAGGCAACTTAGACGGAGTATAGTATTTCCCACCGAAAAACATTAGAATATTAAAAGATATGTTTTAGAATACCTTGCAACTCTCTACAATTATTTTTAATGAGCCAAGTCCAATAAAAAATTTTGTCAACGTTTGATTGGAGTTGAAGTTGAGTCACAAATAAGTTAACAATTGTACAATATGTGTAGGTTTTCCAAATGTTTTTTTTTTTTGTCTATTACATCTAGCACGTTGCTCGTAAAAACAAGATAGGATCCAAAATTATTAAGCTTGATAAAAATAAAGGTCTTAAACATATTAGGCAAATTAAGAACTGAAACTGGGATTTTGACAAAAAAAAAAACACAAAAAAAGAAGCCTAAATAAATTTGGGAAGCTAAAATTGCCTTTGGGAAATGATGCTGTTGTATTAATTTTTAAAAAAAAAATTATAATTACATTTTTAACACATAAACTGAGAACTACCTCTAATTATATGGTCTCTGATAAAAAAATAAATATGTATAAACTATAAGATACATTTAGATAACTAAAAAAAAATTCAACATAAATTATTTCATTTAAATGAATTAAAATATTTATAGATAAATAAAAGTTAATATATGACATTGCAGAGCAACAAAAAACTAATTTTTTTTCTTGTAATATACAACTCTGCGATACGATATAGTTAAATGAAAAATGACGTTGGTATTGATATTTTTTGGTTTGTAATAATAAATAGCTTATTGTAATATTTTTTTTTTTGTTACATATTTAACTATAACTATTTTTTAAAATTGCTTCTAAAAAAAATGTAATTAACAAATATTTTGGAAAGTTTCTATGAATCTTTACATAATAATCTTTAGGTTTTTTAAAAAAAGATTGTCGTAGTACCTATGAGTATGGTTATTACTATTGGAACCCACTTTGTATACTTATTTCTTAGGTATTTCTTTAAACAACAATTAACATTGATCTTATTTACAGGTTATCTTCTGTTAGTATTTATTACTACTATATAAAATGTACAACAACCAACAAAGGTAAGCAGCACCATTGTTTACTAATACCAATGTGCTTTTTAATTTAATACAAAATTCATTTCTTAAATAAAAAATGTTTCACCCTTTTCTCCACAATAAATATACATCTCTTAAAAATTACCTTTTAGACTCCTAAAAAGTAAAATTATTAGTTTTTGTATGAATAGATATAATACGAAGTTTTAAAAGTATAAATGTTCAAATATTTTTTATATATTTTTAATTGTGTAATTAAATAAACGTTAATACTTTTGCATTTCTCTGAATAACAAGTATACTGATTTGAATCATTTCCGATGCATTGCAAGCCGCCATATTTTGGTACTGGGTTAGAGCAACTGCGATACCTTGATTTTACACCACCTTGACACGGTTGATTGCATAATGACCATGGCAACCATTGTGTCCACCCACCATTCACTAAAAATTAATATACAGTATTGGACAGAACATTTGCAACCAACATCGAACAATGCTAAAAGGTGTTCCTAATTTTACATGTCTTAAAAACGAAACAAACCATACTATCACAGCAAACAGTTTAGGAGTCTAGAGTCATAGCATGTCATGACATGAGCAATCAACTGACAGCACATAGGCAGAATTACGCCGTTTTGCAGCGGACAAAACAATTGTAACTTTTTTGGTTTGTTTCATTTTCTTAAATCTATTACGTGTCAACAAGTGTGGTCCGTGTCAACATCACAGAAGTTTTTAAATAATTAATTGAAGTATCCAGAAGTTTATAAAAGTTTCAAGAAGCATGCAGAAGCTTCCAAAAGAAGATTCCAGAAGAAGAATCTGTAAGTATCCAGAACCATCCAGAAGAATCCAGAAACATTCAGAAGCATCCAGACGCATCCAGAAGCTTCCAGCAGCATCAAAAAGAAGCATTGAAAAGAAGCATCTAAAATCTTCCAGAACAGGTTCACACAGGTTAATTTTACTATACAAGAGACATGTAAACCGACATGTAATTCAGTCAGTAAATGGAAGTCAATCAGTCAGTATTATCAAGACAGTTTATCGAAGTAAGTTTTATCATAGTGTTTTATCAAAGAACATCAATAGAAGAATTAGATTACAACAAATATTTCATTACCTCAATACAGTCCAGGTCCAACCAAGACGTTGTGTTCCACAGAGCATTATTGTATCATCAAAGGTAAACTTAACACGGTAAGCCTCGAGAGGCGTGTTTGTTTATTTTTATAATTTTTATGAATTCAAGTGCAAAAATGGCTCCCAAAAGTCTTCGATTATCACTAAGGAAGAAAATTATTGGCAATTACATTTGTGGAATATCACTAAAAAGTATTTGTGATAAATACCGTGTGAAAAAATGGACCGTATCAAGACTATGTTCCAAATATAACAAAGATGGAAGACCGCATTCCGTTACTTCTAGAGAGGATTCTATGATTGTTAGATCCGTCAAGAAGGATCCCTGAATATCTTTAGTCGAGATTCAAAAGCAATTAGAGCTGCCTATATCGGACTGAACAATCAGACGACGTGCTGTTGAAGCTGGAGTGTTTTCCCGACGCCCTGCAAAGAAACTTCTGATTTCACTAAAGAACCAGAATAAAAGGCTCTTATTTGCTATATCTCATATTGACTGGAATGTGCAAAAATGGCAAAAAGTCCTGTTTAATGATGAATCGAAGTTCAAGATTATTAGGAGAGATAGCATTTGCCGTGTACTTCGACCGGCCGCAAAACGCCTTGATTTACGTTACTGCCATAAGACCGTGAAGTATGGTGGATCAACTGTTTGAACATATCCAAAAGACCTGGGCAGCGACTCCACAAAATTTCATTGATCATATGATCGAATCTATGCCTAGAAGATGCAATGCTGTGATCGACAATAAAGGATTCGCCACGAAATTTTAATAGCGAAATACAGCTTGGTCAACATTTTGTGGAGTTGCACTTGTTTTGTCCAGAAAGAAATCAACTTATTTCAATACTTTTAATTAATTTATTAATTTCCGTTTACAAATAATGAACTTTGTAATGAATAAAACTTAAAGATTGTTTTCTTTAAACATTTACATAGTTATTTCTCTAAAATGCAAAATGCAACACTTTTATATAAAGAAACAAAATTAGCATTATTTTGGTTGCAATTGTTTTTTCCTGTAACTTCAGTTTTCTTATTATTATTTAACATAGTGTGAAATATAATTTAAATTTAAGTAAAAGATATCGCATATTTTACCTTTACATATATCATCACTTTCTATGTATTGAACATTGATGCCGAGACAATCTTGTCCGCCATCAGTCGGTATAGGATTATTACAATACCTTTCTTTTCTGATAAAACAAGTTTTACAGAAGTTTGAGCATGATTTATAAGTTATCCAATTGCTCCAATAACCATCAACTTTAATTATAAAAGTAGTTCATTTTTTACACATAAAACAATTAATCATAATTATTTTTGTAATTGCTTATAATAAGCTACAAAACGTGTAGTATTGTAACTGTATTGC